GTCCGCCAGTCCTGGGCTATCGCATTCCTGAGATTTTGAATGATAGTCATCCCACCCATTATTCTTTCTAAACAGTTCACCGTTAGAATCTAAAGATACGCGATATGAACACGCCACTTTTTCCTCTATCGGAACACGTATTTTTTCGATTAGACCAGCAGCCTCATATGCTAATGCTGTATAGATAATTGTATCTATTGGATCGAGTTGGATTGCAACACGATAACAACCATCTTGTTTAGGCACCAATATTCTTTGAAATGGTCGAACCTCATAGGTTTCAAGATCGATATCTGCAATTGCCGTTTTAAGGTTGCCCCAACTATGCTTAATTGCCTCAAATTCAAATGGTACTGGAAATAAATCTGTATCACCAAATCTTGTAATATGAGTGAGGGACCATTCAATAGACTCTGGTTGCAGCTTGTCCAATTTTCTTTTCCTAATTCAATATTCCATTCGACGGGTTGGTGCTACATCCTAAGATAATAATTGGATAGCACCTGCCATACTCAAAAGTACAAATCCGATAGGAACACAACATCCCATTGCTTTCCCCATCTTTCGTTGTCTGCCACTTCGCGTCAGAGGTATTCCAGTTTTTCTTGAGATCCTTGATTTTGCACCAGACAAACCAGAAGCTCGCTTCCATGAAAAAGAGAGTCCCGGAATCCCTTTTCTTCTACCCATAGCTTTTTACTCCTTAATTCAATTGAACTGCGTCCCAAACATTAACCGTTATCCACAATCCCTCCGGTAGACTTCTCTTCCTCAACTTCTACCTTCCCACCTTCATACTCCCCAATCACAGCCTTCAGCCGTTCAGAGTGTTTGAAGATATCATCCACGCAATCAATCTCGACTTTGTCTTCGTTCTTGTTCGTGAACAGGCCCAGGTATTTCTGTGAGTGGTTGAACCGCAGGCGGCAGATCGGCTTGCGGTTGTTGTCGTCCAGCAGGATGCCGCAATAACTTTTTGTGTCGCGCATCGTCACGCGGGCTACGTCAACCACTTCCCGCAGGATCGCCTTAACCACGTTGAAGCCGTCCAGTTCTTCCTGCGTGGTTTCGATGCCGTCACGGGCCGAAGCGTCGTCGCCGTTCTCTTCGTCGTCGAACAGATCCTCACCACCGCCTTCTCCCGAGTTCGCAGACAGGGCCGTCTTCAGACGCTCGTTGATCCGCTCGTTAATGAACTGTGATCGCGCGTCTTTCACGATCTTCGTGAACTGCTCTATCACCTGCTGCGTCAACCGGCCGTCATACACTTGTGACGCGAAGAACCGCACGAACTCTTCGGACGGTGCCTTGAGTTCCTCCTCGAGAATCTTCTTGATCGCCCCCGCGTACTTGAGCGTACTGGCCGTCGTCAGAATGTCGTCCAGCGAAAACGCCGACTTTGTGAACTTTTTGAGTTCGTTGATCTGATGGTCTTCGAAGTGCAGCATGTTAAAGACGAAGAAGGGCTTCGAATCCATTTTGTTCGGCTCGTCGATGTCCGAGTAAAACTGGTATTCGATGCCGTTGGTCAGAATCGCAAACCGGGCCGACGTCACCGAGAAATATCGAAAGAGCTGTGAAGCGTGCACCTTGTCCAGGTCGGCCCCCGACCATTTGCATTCGACCAGGATAATGATCTGCTCATCCTTCTTGATCGCGTAATCGACTTTCTCTCCCTTTTTGATGCCCACGTCTGACGTGAACTCCGGGATCACCTCCAGCGGGTTGAACACGTCGTATCCCAACGCACTGATGAAGGGCATGACGAACGCGTTCTTCGTCGCCTCCTCGGTCTGGGTGTATTCCAGCTGTTTAGGAATCCGGGCAGCAATTTCTTTCATCCGATCGATCAGATCCATCGTTCCTCCATTCAGCGCACAAAAAGAACCGGGATAACCTGCCTACAGAAAGGGGGGCACTCCGGCCCGAAATCGAACCGGAGTGCCAGAAGAGGGGTTACTCGTGCGTGCCGGGAGTGCTCGCACCTAATCACTTCCACGAACACTCCCAGGCAGGCCCGCACATCTAAACATTATGCCAGACATGATCAATACGTCAACTATATTCAGACAGACAGACCTGATTTTCGACTGAACAGACCACAAAACCCAGGCAAAACAGAGGGCAGGGCGGCTCTCAGGCAGGCTGACGTTGATAATAAAACCGCCACCAGAGGCCGCTGATACAGGCGCCGACACTGTACCAGAGAATATCCAGCGGATCGCCGGTGACTCCCGGTGATGTGGAGGCGAACTGCGGGAACAGGATTTCGTACTGGATCGACCAGACCAGCAGCGGCAGCAGAATCTCATACAGTTCCGGCGGCCCGTTATGCGGACGGGCTCTGCAGAAACGGGCGATCAACACCACAATCGGCACCAGCAGCGGCACGCAGAGCAGGTCATTAAAATGATTGTGGACGAACCCGCCCGTCACCAGCGGCTTGAGCAACCAGCGGTTCACCAGAAACAGCACCAGGGCCGTCAGAAATAACGGATCACGCAAATACAGAAACCGCATCCGTCAGTGCCCATTCGGAATATGCAACGGCAGCAGCATCAGTCCCATGCCGGTCGCAATCACCAGCACCACCAGGGTAAACCAGACATACCGCCACGCCGTCATCGGGTGTCCGGTTCTCGTCGTCCCCTTTAATGTCATCAGCGTGAAACAGAACACGAGAAAGGCTGCTTCCGCACCAGCAACCAGGAACCCGTCCCGCGCCACCTCGTCTTTGTCGTTCGTCAGAAAGAACTGTCGGAACGTGGGGAGCGCCAGTTCCCGGTTCCGCCCGTCAACATACAGATCCGCATCGAGGCCCACGCCCCCCGGCTGCCCGTCGCGACCATAAGAGAACAGCTCGTAAGTCTCCCCCTCCCGCCGATATTGAAACGGGTTCCCCCAACTGTCCAGCAGCGGCTCGCCCGGCAGTTCCAGCATGGCATGCACGTCGGGAATCTCCGCCAGAGTATCGGGCAGCACACCGTGTGTCTCCCGATAGTCGGCAATCTGCATTCCTAAGACCCGTAGCCCATAAAAACGCGTGAAGTCCTGATTGCGACACATATTTCGCTGACCGCGCAAATTATACCAGGCAGCCACATTCAGAATCAAAAAGATCAACGCGCCGCAGAGCAGGGCAATCAGCACGTGACGTATCAGTTGTCGAATCATAGGCAGGACTCAAAGCGAAGAAAAGAATCAGCGGCCCCAAAACACAAGCGCCATGACAGAAGATGATCACTCCACCGGCTTCGGCCGGGACGTACCGTCGGCGTCGACGTGATCGGAGAAATCCGGTTTTGAACTGAGCTGGACCGGCAGATTGTTTTCCACGACCAGTTCGATGACCCGCATCGCATTCTCGTGTGGTTCGGCAGCCGGAGCGTCCCGACCGTAGTAGACGACTCCCTGCTGCTTCTGCAGTTCGGCGAAGCGGGTGCGGACCGCTTCCAGTCCTGCGGGCTCCCCATCCATTTCGATGGTGCCATCCTCGAAGACCCAGATCTTGACAACCGGCCCCTCCGCCGCGGCAGGCACGGTCTCTTGGGGTGCACTCGCGGCTTCCTCTGTGGGCGCTGCTTCCTGCTGACAGCCGGCCAGCCCCATTCCCAGGCTGCTCACTAGCAGCAGTATGACTGATCTCATTGCTTCTCACTTTCTGATTCGAAATTCAGGCCCGCCTTCATTTCACTATCGTGCCTGGCCGCGCCGCTGTCCAGTCACCCTGAGGCCTTGTCTCAGTCGAGCCAGGGTTGCCGGACGGTCATCGCGGGGAACATAGACGGGGGCGGACTGCCATTCAGCGTGTCTCCATACAAGTAGAGCAGGGGGCGACTTCAGAGAAGCCATCATAGACCACAGTCCCCGACACCGCCACAAACAGTCTGTTTTTCAGGCACTTTTCGTATGTGTCCGCAACAAACGGGTGCCACCGTCGGCTCGTCCGACAGCGCCTGGGTACAGACCACAGCCGGCAGGCGCGCTCACCTCAAGAACCGTAAAGCGCGTGCGAAAGAACACACTCCCGGCGACTCCCGAAACCACAACGCGACGATCGCGACGACCAGTTGGAGCGGTCTTCAGAAGCGCGTCGCGACACCTTCCACGACGCGCGCGAACCATCGCCGAAAATTATTTCCTCAGAATATTTCAAAATTGTGAACTCTGATATTTTAAATTTCCAAAAGATTGGTAACTTACGCGTCGATATGAATATCTTAGTTCATATCTGTTTCTTTAACTCCTTTTTCTGGAGATACCGAGATGGCCAAATCTACTTCTAAGATTGGGCAAACTGCCAAAAAGCAAACTGGCAAAACCACAGCTGCTGCTCCTAAAACTGCCAAAGGCAAAACCAGCAAGAAGAAGTAATCTTCTCGCCTGATTCCGGCAGATTGACAGCCCCCTGTTCGAAGAGTTCCTGGAACTCGAAAAACAGGGGGATTTATTTTTTGGTAGACAGAGAAGTTTCAAGCACCGCACTTTCAACCGTCCCCCATCCTGAAACCCAAACCAGGTCTCTCCGGGACGACGTCAGGGCTGTCAGCCCTCCCGCTACCATGCTCCCCGGGAAACGAACTTTTCCCAATACACGCGGGCCTCTGCTGAGTATACTGAGGGAAACAGGCATTCCCCCCAACCGATAACAGGAGCTCAGACGATGACCGATAAACAGCCCCACCAGATCACTGACGTCTTTCCCTACCTCCGCACCCTGGATGCCAGTGCCGCCATCGATTTCTATCAGCGGGCGTTTGGAGCCGTCGAAGACTTTCGGCTGACCGAACCAGGCGGGCGGATTGGTCACGCGGAACTCAAGTTCGGGGCAACGACGATCATGGTCTCCGACGAGTATCCCGAGTACGGCATTCACGCGCCCCGGGAATCCACGCCGACCGGATCGGCAATCCATCTGCATGTGCAGGATGTCGACGCCATGACACAACAGGCCGTCGACGCGGGAGCCACACTGATTATGGAACCGGCCGACCAGTTCTACGGCGAACGGGCCGCGAAGGTTCAGGATCCCTTTGGGCACGAATGGCTGCTCGGCAGTCAGATCGAAGAGGTGTCTCCCGAGGAGATGCAGCGCCGCTTCAGCGCGATGTTCGAGGCCGGCGAAGAGGAGTGCTGAAGCGCCCAACGCTCGCGAGCTCTCTCACCTGGATCAGATAAGGAGCAGGGGCCTCCCGAGAGAAATTTTTCATTTCCCGGCAGCCAGCGGGAGCCCCTGGTTTAAGAATCGTCTTTCAGTCTGCGCCGCAGCAACACTCGGTCAGACGCTGAATGGAACCGACAGCCGCAAGCATTCGATTGCGGGCAGGCGGGTTCGCGGTGTGTACTTTGATCTCTGGTGGATCGAAGTCCCGCGTCGCGACGGCTTCTTCAATCCACAGCAGCACGTCATAGCCGGTGCCGCGTTCGTCATCGCCCAGATCGTGGTCGAGACTGATCGAGCGGACTTCACCCGTTTTTAAAAATTGAATTGCTTCATCCGGCCAGCGAACCTGTCGCCAGCCCGGCGGTGCCGGTCGTTCGTCATCCAGATAGACGTTCATGAATTTTCCTTGTATTCCACATTAAGAACAGATGAATTCACAGAAAAACGATATGAGGCCTGTATCACAGACCTTCTGCGTAACGTGACACAAAAAACGCCTCACAGGTTCGCTGTTTTCGGGGATCACATCAGCAAACGTGAATAAAAAACGCCGAATTATTAACAGAAAATTAACTTGCAGAAATCGGCTCTGATCAACTCATGTTTTATGAAGCTAACACGTTCTTCACACACCCTTCACAAATGCGGACTAGACTGCCCGCAACTTCAGCAGAGACTATTTTCCATTCACAACATCTCTGACTGTTTCATTCAAGCTGAATTCATCAGCAGCAGATAAGTTCAAATCCGCCAGTCTGCTTCCCACAGGGAAGACGAATAAACCAGTCAGATTTAATTCATTCTCAGTTGTTACTGGTCCTGCTCTCAGACTCAAAAAGGAGAAGTGATGAACAATCGAAAAGCGTTTACCCTCATCGAGCTACTGGTGGTGATTGCCATTATCGCAATCCTCATCGCCCTGTTATTACCGGCGGTACAACAGGCACGCGAAGCTGCACGCCGTAACAGCTGCAAAAACAATCTGAAACAAATCGGACTGGCTTTGCACAACTATCATGAAACATTCAGCGCGCTGCCCCCGGGTAGTATCGTCTACTTCAATGGTACTAAATACTACGGACACGGCTGGACCTGGCACGCCAGCATCCTGCCTTATCTCGATCAGGTTCCGATGTACAACCAGATCCAGGGACCAGACTCCAGCGGCATGGGAGCCGAATCAGGTGGTACAACCAGTGCCAAACAGCAACTGGCCGGACAGACTGTGCTTTCCGTATTCTGGTGCCCCTCCCAGCCCGACGTAACGCAGGGTGTGCAGAAAGGGGGCTATTCGCCTTCTAACTATAACGGCAACATGGGCACGCTGATCGGTAACTCGGGCGACAACTGCTACGGCGGTTCGATTACGACTCCCGCTCAGATGGCAGCCACCGGTGGTTGCATGGGAGCCGACGGTATCTTTTACATCAGCAGCAGCGTCCGTTTCCGGGATGTCACCGACGGCCTGTCAAACACCATCTTCGTCAGTGAAGTCATCGATTCCGGCGGAGACGCCAACATGCTGGGCGGCGGGGGCAGTGACCGCAAGCACTGTTTCTCCGGGGGTGCAGACAGCAATCCGCCCACCGAAATGTCGGAATACCTGATCGCCGCCGAGAGCAATGACCCGATCAACGGTTATGCCGAAGAAGCAGCCGGCAGCTACCACACCGGCGGCGCCCAGTTCGTCTTCGGTGATGGTCGTGTCCGCTTTCTCTCGGAAAACATCGACATGACTCTATACCGTGCCATCAGTACTCGTGCCAAACGGGAAACCCTCAGCGACTTCTAAAGCACTATGACAAATCAATAACGCCCTTCCAGTCACGTCGACGGGAAGGGCGTCAATTAAAAGTGAATTAGAGGATCGTATCCTCGCTACTAAGAAATCCAACGTATCAAAGTGAGTTTCAACCATGACCAGTTTTAAACAGAACAAAATCCAAAACTTCTTCAAAGTAACTCTGCTGACCCTGTCCCTGGCAATCACCGGCTGCGGTGGGGGAGCAGGCGATCAACCTGACCTCGGCCTGGTCAAAGGGACCGTCACCTTCGAAGGCTCGCCCCTGGCTGGTGCCTCAGTCACCTTCATGCCCGACAGCGGACGTCCGGCCAGCGCCACCACCGATGCCTCCGGAAACTACGAACTGGTTTACATTCGTGATACCAAAGGCTGCAAAATCGGTCACAACAAAGTCATGATCACTTCCGTTGTCGAAGGCGGAAATGAAATGGAAGCTGAAGGCGACGATGCCGCTCCAGCTGAAACCACCAAAGAAAAACTGCCTTCAAAATACAATACGAACACCGAACTGGAAGCTGACGTCAAAGCCGGCGAAAACACCTTCGACTTTGAACTGAAAAAATCCTGATTCCCCAGTCCACGCTGGAGCAACCGCTCCAGCGTGACATGCTTTATAAAACCACAAGAGTTTCAAATTTGAGTTAAACCAGGGATAGATTATTTCATCTGATTACCGAGCGTTTGTATTTTCGGAACTCGCAACAACTGAGACCGCGCTGAACTCAACAGCCTCTCAGCCAGGATAAACGGCGATCCTGTTTCGCCATTGCCAGAATCCGTACTTTTTATTGTCCTTTCATCCCTCTAACCCACAAGGAAAACTCATGCAGAATCGAAAAGCCTTTACACTGATCGAACTACTTGTGGTGATCGCGATTATCGCTATCCTGATTGCCCTGTTGCTCCCTGCTGTCCAGCAGGCACGCGAAGCTGCACGCCGCTCGCAGTGCAAGAACAACATGAAACAAATTGGATTGTCTCTGCACAACTACCACGAAGCCCACAGCGTCCTTCCGCCGGGCAGTGTGGTTTACTACAACGGTTCGAAATACAACGGTCACGGCTGGACCTGGCACGCCAGCATCCTGCCGTACCTCGACCAGGCTCCCATGTACGATCAGATCCAGGGGCCATCCTCCAGCGGTCTGGGTGCTGAATCCGGTGGGGTCAACGATGCCAAACAGCAACTCTGTGGCCAGGCCCGACTCTCCGTCTTCTGGTGTCCCTCCCAGCCGGATGTAACCAAAGGAGCTCAGAAGAATGGCTACGCTCCTTCCAACTATAACGGCAACATGGGCACCCTGATCGGCAGTTCCGGCGATAACTGCTACAGTGGTAATGTCGATACGCCCGAAGAAATGGCTGCCACCGGTGGTTGCATGGGTGCAGATGGCATCTTCTACATCAGCAGTTCAGTAGGCTTCCGGGATATCAAGGACGGCCTCTCCAACACGATCATGGTCAGTGAAGTGATTGACTCAGGTGGAGACGCTGACATGTTGGGCGGCGGCGGCAGCGACCGCAAGCACTGTTTCTCCAACGGAGCAGACAGCAATCCCCCGACTGAAATGACCGAGTACCTGATCGCAGCCGAAAATAACGACCCGATCAACTCCTACGGGGAAGAAGCAGCCGGCAGCTATCACACCGGCGGTGCTCACTTTGTACTCTGTGACGGTAGCGTGCGATTCCTCTCTGAGAACATCGCGATGACACTCTACCGGGCTCTCAGCACCCGCGCCAAACGCGAAACCCTGGGGGAATTTTAATAATCCACTGATTCCCTTTACTCTCAACTGAGACAGACCCGAACAACCTCTCTGCCAGCTGCGTTGATCAACAATCGCAGGCAGGGAGGTTCTTTTTTTATAGCCTGTTCATCAATCGAAGTGACAGACAAAGCCCTCTCTCATCACAGGTGATTTATATATCCATGCTCTGCCCAGGATCTTCATCAACCGCGCGAAAAGATAACGACTTCTTCATCATTTATTCACGCATCAAGTATAAAATTCTCACACATTTAACAGGCTCTTTCACATATCAGACGTGGTAAACAACATCCGTCGTGCTGGTTCTCACAGCAACTACCTGAATTCCGATTTGCGATTCTGTTTCCGTCACCGTCAAAGAGCTCATTATTCAAAACCTCTTTTTTCATTTCATTTTTTATTTTTGAAATGCAAGGAAAACACATGAAAAATCGGAAAGCCTTTACACTGATCGAATTGCTGGTCGTCATCGCGATCATTGCCATTCTGATCGCTCTGCTGTTACCCGCAGTACAACAGGCACGCGAAGCAGCCCGTCGTTCACAGTGCAAAAACAACCTGAAACAGATTGGTCTGGCACTGCACAACTACCACGAAGCACACAGCGTACTCCCGCCGGGTAGTATCGTTTACTACAACGGTTCAGTTTACAACGGCCACGGCTGGACCTGGCACGCCAGCATCCTGCCGTACCTCGATCAGGCCCCCCTCTACGATCAGATCCAGGGACCTTCCTCCAGCGGCATGGGTTCTGAATCCGGCGGTGTGAATGATCCCAAGCAGCAGCTCGCCGGCCAGACCGTGCTTTCGGTCTTCTGGTGTCCCTCACAACCAGATGTAACCAAAGGGGCTCAGAAAAACGGATACTCTCCCTCTAACTACAACGGCAACATGGGAACGCTGATCGGCAGCTCGGGCGATGACTGCTACAGCGGTTCGATCACGACGCCCGCCCAGATGGCAGCTACCGGTGGTTGTATGGGTGCGGACGGCATCTTCTACATCAGCAGTTCCGTCGCTTTCCGTGACATCACCGACGGCCTCTCCAACACCATCATGGTCAGTGAAGTGATTGACTCCGGTGGAGACGCCGACATGCTGGGTGGCGGCGGTAGTGACCGCAAGCACTGCTTCTCCAACGGAGCAGACAGCAATCCCCCCACCGAAATGACCGAGTACCTGATTGCCGCTGAAAGCAACGACCCGATCAACTCCTACGGGGAAGAAGCAGCCGGCAGCTATCACACCGGCGGTGCTCACTTCGTTCTGTGTGACGGTAGCGTGCGATTCCTCTCTGAGAATATCGACATGACGCTCTACCGGGCACTCAGCACCCGTGCGAAACGGGAAACGATTGGCGAGTTCTAAGCCTTCGGATCACATCGATACGTAGAAAAGGCGCCGCTCCCCAGCGACGCCTTTTTGCATTGAAGCGTATTTCGACTATAATGTTTTGTAGTAAATCCACTGAACGCAGAGCTTCCCGCAATCGTGCGTGAGCTACTCTACGATTGCGGGGATGCTCTGACATTCAGTTAATTAACTGGGTAGACGCAGCCGATATCAGCTGTTGCGCTCTACTCAGCTTCAGACAGTTTGTCCGGAATGGATTCCTTCCGCAAACTCCTCGACCATCTTCGCGCAGAACGCGGGCAGGTCATCTGGCTTGCGACTGGTCACCAGTCCGTTGTCACATACGCACTCCTGGTTGACCCAGTTAGCGCCGGCATTGATCAGATCTGTTTTCACACTGGGCCATGACGTCACCATTCGCTCGTCGACCACATCAGCTTCTACCAGCATCCAGGGACCGTGGCAGATCGCCGCGACCGGAATTCCTTCCTTAAAGAATTCGCGGACAAAATTGACGGCGTTCACACTGAGCCGCAGGGCATCGGGATTGAATACGCCCCCCGGCAGTACCAGTCCCTGGAAGTCGGTCGCATTCACTTCATCGACCGTCTGGTCAACGCTGAACTCATCACCTTTTTGATCGTGGTGCACACCCTGTATTTTGCCGCTCTCCAATGAGATCAGCCGGGGCTCGCCCCCCGCGGCCTGCACCGCCTGCCAGGGTTCCGTCAGTTCGACCTGCTCGAATCCATCGGTCGCCAGAAATGCGATTGTTTTCCCCTGTAGCTGTTTCCCTGACATTCCATTCTCCTTCCATTTTTCCTGTTCGACTGCACTCACGAACGGTCTCAGAACTCCAGGATCAGTTGCTGATACTCTTGCTTGATATTCGTTTTTTCGTTCCTGAAAATAACCACCGGAGACGACACTTGGGTCGTCCCCGGTGGAAATGGCGTTTCAGTCCGAATACGTCTGAGGGCCTGGCAGACGAATTCCTGAACTGGTTTTGCTGACCTACGCAAGCAACGTGCCAGTCGGTACAAAAATGAAAGAGTCTAAATAACAGCCTGATTTTCTGCAGATCAGAAGCGAGCTGTCAGCCTGTCGTACCATGCCCCCTGGTCGCTCAACAGACACCCTGATCGCTGGCAAGTCAGCACCCGGAACGCAGATCGCTCAAAACACGATCAGGCAGGGGACAGAGAACGCTGTCAATGTTCCCGAGCTCCATTCCGTTAAAGGTAAACCAGCGATTGACCACATCGTTTCTAGAGCAACTTTTCCCAGTTGCGAGCACTGTGCAGTACACGAATAATCTGAATCCCGTCTTCAATGGGGAAATAAAATATCAGGTACCGTCCGAGGGGAAAACAGCGTAAGCCTTCGCGAAAACGATCCTGTCGGGATCCAATCCCAGGATGATTTGCCAGCTTTTGAAAGAGTTGATCGAACTGTCTTACCAGTCGGTCTGCCGCGGAAGAATCCTCTGCAGAAATATAGGTCCAGATTTCCAGAATATCTTCTTTCGCCTGTCGCGTCTGTATGATTCGCGACATCTATTCCGGCTCGACGATTTGTCGTGTGCGGGCTTCCCTGAGAAGGGCCTCGACATCCCAGTCAGTCACATCGCCTGCATCGGCCTGATCAAATCCAATCTGGAGCTCACGGCGTAATTCTGCATCCATCCAGTGTTGAAAAGCTTCCTGCGGAACCAGTAGATATACTCTCTGCGTTTGGTCGTCTTCAATTTGGAGAGGGCGATCAGGCGACTCCAGGAGAGCCTGTCGCATTTCATCGGTCAGTTTAGGAGCCATCTAATTCCTCTTGCAGATAACAACCAGAGAGCAGGGTTTCCTCTGATAACGATTATACACTTCTGTGCACGACGTATCCACAATGAATCCAACAGATCTCTGACGCTCAGCTGCGCCGTTCCTGCTGTCGGAGGAACGCCAGCACATCCCGGCAGCCACGCTGGATCTGGGCGCTCATCACTTCGCGGGCCAGGGGGCCATCGCCGGCCCGCAACGCAGCCAGCAGTTTTTCTTTGTCGCTGCAAGTTCGCTCTGCCAGTTCCACGGTCAGCAGTCGAGAGCTGTTCCGCTGTGATTCAAACACCAGTGTGACCGCACTGTGTTCGCGGATCACTTTCGCGATCAAACGGTTGCGAGAAGCCTCAATTACAATCTGGTGAAACACCGCTTCACAATCCAGCCAGCGATGAAACTGCGCCGCTGTGGCATATCCTTCATTCCGCTGCTGAACCAGTTCGCGGATCTCATGAAACTCAACCATCAGGGCATCCAGATCATCCAGTTGATGCGGCGTAATGTAGCGGGCCGCTTCCGCAGCCGCACAACTCTCCAGCGCATCCCGCAGAACATACAGCTCTTCCAGATCCTCACGATTCGGGTTCCGCACAAAGGCTCCCGCGCCAGGCACATGCTCTACCAGACCTTCCGAGACGAGTCGGTGAATCGCCTCACGCACGGGAATCACACTCACGCCAATCCGCTCGGCCAGCTTGCGATTAACCAGCTGCGTACCGGGAGTCAGATTCCCTTCCTGCAGTTCCTGCCTGATGTAACGATAAGCACGATCGGCCAGATTTTCGGTGGCTTCATACATTTTTCATTTTCTGGTTGACAAGCGTTTTGGTTTTACCGACAATATGTAACATCATGTTATAACATGTTATTCCATGATGTCAATTTTTTCTTTTTTACAAATTTTTGTGCCGGTTTCCCAGTCGGTGAAGTGCAAAGCTGGGGCACAGGCACAGCAGACCAGGTCTGTACCGGGAGTCTTAACGCCCCTCAATTTATCTGTTTCATCTGGAGAGAATCATGAAAATCAAGCGCGGATTTACACTGATTGAATTACTGGTCGTGATCGCCATTATCGCCATTCTGATTGCATTACTGCTGCCTGCTGTCCAGCAGGCACGTGAATCCGCCCGACGCTCCACCTGCAAAAACAACCTGAAACAGATCGGTCTGGCTCTCCACAACTATCACGAAACTCACAAGGTCTTTCCGTATGGAATCGATCACCGCAACGGCGGCTGTTCGGGCTCTCCCGGACTGACCTACCGCTTCGGCTGGGGCACTCTGATCCTCCCCTTTATCGATCAGGCCAACGTCTACAACAAATACAACTTCTCCAAAAACTACAATGACTCTCCCAACAAGGCCATTGATGTGGTCGGCTTCAAGGTCCCCAGCTATCAGTGCCCCAGTGACCCCCAGAGCGACGACCGCGTGAATATGACCGGTGCCATCAACAACGGCGGACCGGGAAACAAAGACGACCTCGGCAAAACCAATTACTCGGGCGTCGCAGATTCCGTCGACTGGACCTGCTCCGACAATACCTGGCCTGCCAGTGTCGGGAACGGCATCTTCTACAATCGCAGTCGGACCAAAATCAGCGATATCCTCGATGGTGCCAGTAACACCCTGATGGTTGGTGAATGTACCGGCGGACTGACCGGCTCATTTGACGGCAATCCTTATCCGGTCTGGAATATTCTTGACACTGCCGGCGGCATCAATGGACCTCACACCACGCCTGGCGGTGGCACCTGGAATCTGCGAACCCAGGAATTCTCCAGCTGGCACACCGGCGGCTGCCACTTCGTGCTGGGTGACGGATCAGTCCGGTTTCTTTCAGAAAATATCGACCAGGGAACCCTCTCCGATCTCACAACCCGTCAGGGCGGGGAAGTCGTCGGCGAATTCTAAACGCTGCTTGTCAGGTTCGACACCTGAGATCAGGAACCGCCATGGCCTAGAGGGAACAGCCTGCATCCCTCTAGCCTGGCACTCCTGGATCTGACTACAGGAACTCCTGCCGAACGGATCGCCGGGAAGCTGCTCACTCCATCCTTCACCCCCGCAGAGATATAATCTATGAACGCCTCGCTTCTGAATCAAGTTGTCTCCTGTGCCTGTTTGTGTCTCAGTCTCCTCTCCGCCGGTTGTGGCGCCAGTGATGCACCGGAGCGACGACCGGTCAAAGGCATCGTCAAATACGCCGGTGATCCGCTGGATGCTGCAGAAATCCGTTTCATCCCCGAGTCCGGACCTGTCTCGCTCGCCACGATTCGCGCCGGCATCTATCAGCTCGACAATAAAGGGGGCGTACCTCTGGGAAACTGCAAAGTCCAGATCGTCTCCAGCACACCTCAGTTGGATGAGAGTGTCGCTCCAGGCGATGTCGGCACCAGTGGGGAACAGATCCCCGCGGTCACGGAAATCCCGGCGAAGTACAACTCCCAGACCACACTCACCGCCACGATCGAAAAAGGAGAGGGCACCCAGACGCTCGACTTCGAACTCGAAAAGTAATTCTCACGATTTCGTCACAATACCAGACATTCCCTGTCCATCGCTTTATAATCAGATCAGGGTCTGAAACACGCCGCACAACACACCTGCCTGAAGCTCACAGAAAGATCGCATGATGAATCACCCGTTCTCACTCACACCACTGCTGTTGACCGCTGTTCTGCTCACTACATCACAGAATGCTGCTTTACAAGCCGCCGATCAGTTGCCGCTCATCGATCTTTCCAAACAGACTGAGCGACAGACCGTCATCGCCGCCGGTACTCCCGAAGTCTACCAGGGACACCCGACCACACTGCTGATGCCCGATCAGAAAACCATCTACGCCGTCTGGTGCATCAATCACGGCGGTTCCGCCGGCCCCATGGCCCGCAGCACCGATGGAGGCAAAACCTGGGAGCGAATCGACGAACGACTGCCCGCCGGTTACTCCACGCATCAGAACTGTCCCAGTATCTATCGGATGATCGGTCCCGATGGCACCGCACGTCTCTGGGTCTTCTCAGCAGCACTGGGAAAACGGGGCGGGCCGGGCATGCCGAGCATCATGAGTGAAGACGACGGCAAAACCTGGAAAGAAATGCCGCCCCTTGGTTTCCCCTGTGTCATGACCTTCAGCAGCATGGTCCGACTCAAAGATGGACGTTACCTTGGCCTCTACCATCGCGGTCCGGATGGCAAAGACCGTTCCCCGCTGGTCGTACTGCAGACCATCTCCGCAGACGGCGGATTCACCTGGTCCAAGCCGCGGATCGTCGCCGAAGTCGAGGGTAAAAATCCCTGTGAGCCCTGCGTCTTCCGCAGTCCCGACGGCAAACAGCTCTGCTGCCTGATGCGGGAAAATACACACAAAGGCCGCAGTCTGATGATGTTCAGCAACGATGAAGGCCAGACCTGGACGAAGCCCGTCGATACTCCCTGGGGCCTGACAGGCGACCGTCACAAAGAAGTCTTCACGAAAGATGGACAGCTGGTAATCTGCTTCCGCGACCAGGCCCCCGGCAGTTCAACACGTGGTGACTTTGTTGCCTGGGTCGGCACGTACGATGATATCGTCCAGGGACGGGATGGGAAATACCGCATCAAGCTGCTGCATCAGTATGGACGCAAAGGCGATTGTGGCTACCCCGGTGTCGAACTCCTGCCCGATGGCACCATCGTCGCGACGACCTACGTCAAATACCGCGACAACGCCAATCAGAACTCAGTGGTCTCCGTCCGTTTCAAACTGGACGAGTTACCGGCCCCTGAAGGAAAGTAGTACCTTCGTTTCGAGTGGAATACGCAGTGTGCCACTGTCGGCTCGACCGACAGTGCGCGCTGACCATTCCCGCTCAGAGCGCAGTACCCACGCGACTTCAATATCGCGGCGTCTCCACGAAACCTTCCCCCACCTTTTCCATTACAAAGCCCAGGCCCAACGCGCCGGCTTCCAGTACGGCAAACAGAATAATCAGCCACAGCCTTTCCGAAAACGTGAAGGCGATCACCGCCAGGCAGTTGGGAAGCTGCTTAAACGCGTTTCCGATGAAATCCATCAAGGCACGTGCCGCGGTTTTGATCATCGCACTGCGGGCCCCCCGTCGGGACAACCGGGAACTTGACTCCAGCTCGTCGCCATGCTCCTCAGCGAAACGTTCCACTTCATTGGACCGCCAGCCCTCTTTCGCATGCGCATACGCGGCGGCAGCACAGGCCCAGCCGAACATCGCAATGCCGATCATTACCAGTGTGATCACCTGTTTGGTCGACCAGCCCTCATCGTGGTCTTTTCGTTTCTTTTTCTTCTTGCGACCGGATTTCGTCGCCTTATTTTTCCGTACCGGCGGCGCATCCTCTTCGGCTCGTGCTACTTTTCGGCTGGCAGGCCGGCGTCGGGGTTTGCGACTGACAGAGTCTCCCGCACTCTCGGGAGGACGTCTGCGCTTACGACGGGGACGGGGGTCTTCGGTCATCTTGTCAGAGTTCCTTACGTCAGCAGAAATCTTGTGGAAATCACATCAGTCTATTTTGCTCATCGCATAGCCCAGCCCCAGTGCGCCCACTTCCAGGCAGGCAATCAGAATGACCAGCCACAGCCGGTGCTGAAATGAAAACGCCAGTACTCCAAACAGATTGGGAAGCTGGCGGAACGCATTGCCGATAAAGTCCCACAGTGAAGAATAGGACTTCTGGCGAATACCTCCCCCATCTTCAAATCGCTGATCGTACTGAATTCCATCCGCATCAGGTTCCGTCAGATTGGTCGACTCCTGTCGCCAGCCTTGTTTTTCATGTGCATAAGCGGCCGCCATAAAAGCCCAGCCAAACCCTGCGATCGCCAGCATCAGCATCGCCACGACTTTTGTAGTGGAAGCCTCGTCTCCCTGGCTCCCGCCTCTTCTCGTTGCAGACATCCCTGTAATCACCTTTCGCTAAATTTTCTCAAGTCCACATTTACTGGACTCTCAGTTCAAATTACGTTTGTGCCTGCAATTCGATTCGTCACATTATGACAGCATGTATCCCCCTGTCAACCAGCCACAAATTTTCACAAACCGTTTTCATCTCTGCTTCATATCACACTATCCATAAAAAATGGGGACAGCCCACGATGGACTGCCCCCGGCGGAAAATGAGTTCTTTAGCGCTGGATCAAATCATTTCAGATTCGCTCCTTAAGCGGTTTATCTTTGACGAGCTGAGGAGCAACGAACTCTTTCTGGTATTTATCCCAAGCTCGATCACTTTTCAGTTCAGGATTTCCAGCCCGCAGCCGTTCCAGCGTTGCACCATCATATTTCTCTGTTAAATCAATCATGGCTTTCCACTCTTCCAGGGAGAGTGGTGGCTGCGCGGCGAGAACGGCTGGCTTACCGATTTCAATATCTGACTCAGAGGATCCGCATCCAGTCAGCACCACCGGAAACAGAATCAGGCTCAGACAGACGACACGTAACATTGCTACTAACTCCTGTTAATTCTATTTCAAACGAGCTTATGGAAACGAAACCACTTCGCTGCCAGAGCGGGTCGACAATGCCTGGTATAAACCGAAGTCAATATTCTCAGACAGAAAATGCACCGAGCCATCCACCATTGCGAAATGAGCCCCTCCGGGATGCTGACTGCGGAACACGCCATAACTGGTTGAACCATCTTTCGTATTGAGTCTGGCATTCGTGGTACCCCAGGTATAGCCGGCATACCCATAAGCCCAGACACTACCATAAGTATCAGAGGGAACCCCTGCGGGGGCAAAATCGGTTTCTCCCAACAGAAACGTATTCGTTGTCCCATCTGTGATGTCACGCATTTTGGTGGACTTTTCATAACTCGGGCTGCTGGATTTGCTCGGGTCCAGAATGCGGGGAATGATTGCACCGTTATATTCAGGCTCAGGTACGCCATACCAGGTAGCATAATGTAGTAGATTGGTTTCCGGTGTGCCCGCACTGAAGATATAGCTGCAGGGGGCTCGGTTGTCGGTCAGTGGTGCAGTCGGCATCGTCATGGAGGGACAGATAAACGTCGGCACAATCATCTGCACCAGCATCGCATTCGTAAATCCATCGCCATCTGCATCATTGGTGCTATTACGTGTCTCTTCCTTATCCCAGCGCTGGGCCACCGCATCCTGCTCCAGGTAGGGCATGATCTGAATATGTCCCGTGGTCCAGGTTGTCGTTAAAGGCGAGACAGTCAGATCAACAGTTTCCTCTACGTCAGTCACTGCGTAGGGAAATTCATTAAACGTATCATGAAACATATGCGTTGCCAGCGAGATCTGTTTCAGATTGTTTTTACACTGCGAACGACGAGCGGCTTCGCGGGCCTGTTGTACGGCAGGGAGCAGCAGGGCAATCAGTATCGCAATAATCGCGATCACAACCAGCAGTTCGATCAGCGTAAAGCCGGATCGTTTTGTGAGGCGGGAAGCAGGGCGGGACAGACGTGTTGCGCGAGACAACATGGTGGGTATCTCCTTCAATCAGTAACCAAACGGGAATAAAAATCGCTTCGACTTTGAAACGATCTCTCTCCGGAGGAATCTGGCTGGCTACTGAAAGAAGTCTGTCTCTGGAGACAGCCGGGCAGGAACACGAATCAGCTCGCTCCCACGACACAGGCCCTCCAGACACAACCTCATCTCTCGCGGGCTGGGTCCGGACTGGATAAACAAATCAGCACTTATCACTCAGCATCAAATATGATACTGAGATTCAGTCTCAACTCAATATAGCCACTCTTTTCGAGAACCGTCAAGGGAATTGGCTCCGATTTCAAAAAGAAAACCGTAGGTGATAAGATGACAATCTTAGAGTCTAAGACATTATAATATTGTCACTTACGTCATAACTGCAAACACAGACACGAGTATCTGAAGTGAGGAGCACAGACGACAAACCCGAAGTTCAGCCTGGCAAACAAGCTCAGCAGCCTGCGATAATTTCTGGACTGCAGGATTATTGAGAAGCTTCGTCAGCTGCTTCGGCTTCCGCTCGCAAGTCATCCTTGACCGTCACATAACCCAGCCACAACAGGCCGACTTCGATCAGAAAGAAGAAGATCACCACGACCGGGTGACTATCATAGAATTCAATGAAAAAGAACCGGACATCGGGCAGGAAACGGATGGAATTCACAATCACTTCTCCCACCGAGGATCGGAATCGTGGACTGTGAAACAGGTCCCCCTGTTCCCGACGGAGTTCATCCTCAATACCTCCGGAACCGCGGGGAATCATGATCCGCTCATCCCAATAGCGGTCGTCTTGAATCACCGACTCCACAGCGATTCCCCAGCCCAGCACCAGGATCGCCAGCATAAAGCCGCCAAACACGATCTTCGTTCTGGTACTCTGTTTCATCTTCTCAGGTGAACTGGTTTCCGACACGCAAGACTCCCATTCTTTCATCACATCGGTCAAGAAAATTGTTCAGATCTGCAGCCGGGAAGGGCTCGCTGCATCAATGTCTTCTGGATGAGTCAACGCTGCTTCAATGCCCATCCGCACTCCCTCAGTCGATGTTTCCGCCGACATGCTGGGTTCGCCCAGGTTCTCCACGCGTGCCGCCACCTCGGGTAAAAAGGGGAGATGAATCCAGCCCGCCCGGATCGGCGATTCACTCTGGGCCAGATAATGCAGGACCCCATACATCAGATGATTACAGCAGAACGTTCCCGCTGCATCCGAAATATCAGCCGGGATTCCCGCATCCCGCATCGCCTGAACCATCGCCCGAATTGGCAGCGTCGTATAATACGCGGCCGGACCGTCGGCAGCCGTCAGTCCTCCCTGCAGGGAACGGCCCGCGTTATCCACCAGACCATAGCGCGTCCCGTCATTCAGATTCTGTGCGATCCGCTCTACGGTGATCATCGACCGGCCTCCGTACTCGCCCATCATCACCACAAGTTCCGGCTGGATCTGCTCGATCTCTGCCTTCACGAAATCGATGCACTTGAAAAACGTGTTCGGCACAATCCGCGAGACAATCTCAGCCCCACCCACGATGGCCCCGTCCAGCGCCCGCGCCACCGATTCCGCAGGATTGACCGGAGTATAACCATAGGCTTCAAAACCGGTGAGTAAGACTTTCGTCATCGCAGGCTCCCTTATTCGTTATAGACTGACGGACACAACCGTAGACAGACCTATCTTAAAACAGAACGGCCGTACAATGCCATAACGAAAATCAGAGCAGGGGGTCTACCGGGAAAGAGAAGGCTTGGAAGAAGATTCAGCCCCCTGGATCCCTTCCGCCGCCCGGGCGATATTCTTCAGCATCCCCGCAAACACGAAATAATGCAGCGGACAGACCGCATACCAGTACAGCCGCCCCCACAGTCCCACCGGATCAAACATCGCCGTCTGAGAGATCGTTGAACCCTGCGCATCCTCTTTAACTTCGAACTCCAGCCAGGCGCGACCCGGCAGCTTCATCTCGGCCGCCAGTCGCAGGCGACGGTTCGGCTCAAACGCTTCCACTCGCCAGAAATCGACCGTATCCCCCACGCGCAGCCGCACCGGATGCGCACGACCACGCCGCACACCAATACCGCCCACCAGCAGATCCATCCAGCCTCGCAAATGCCAGAGCCAGTTGCAGGCATACCAGCCGGTCTTCCCCCCGATCCGCTGGATCGGCTGAAAAGCGATTTCGGGAGGACACGCCACCGTGGTACTCCGAGCGTCGACCAGCCGGTTGCCAAATCGCACACCACTCCACGACCGCACTTGTCCCGACGACGAAACCGCATCCGACCAGCGTGTCTCCGCGAATTCACGTTCCTCGTTATTCAGCGCCCGCTGAATCGCAGATTCGATGCCCATCGGCTCGATCGAAAATGCATCCCGCGCACACTCATCCTGAACCACCGTAGAATGTACAATACTCTCGATCAGCTTGCGACCAATCCGCGCATACAGAGGTGTCACCAGTCCCAGCCACAGACTCGACAGATAAGGCGTCAGCACGGGCACCGAAATCATCCGCACCCGCATCCCCCGGCAGCGGGCATACACCCGCATGATCTCAGCATAAGAAACCTGATCGGCACCACCGATCTCAAAGGTCTGACTTTCCGGCAAGGGAATTTCCAGGGCCTCAGTCAGATAGGCGATCAAGTCCTCAATCGCGATGGGCTGCGCGGCCCGCATCACCCACTTCGGCGTGATCATCACGGGCAAGCGTTCCACCAGCGACCGAATCATTTCAAACGACAGACTCCCCGAGCCGATCACAATCGACGCCCGGAATTCAATCACCGGCACTCCAGACGACCTGAGAATCCGCCCCACTTCCTGCCGACTCCGCAGGTGAGGGGAGAGCGACTCTGCTTCATCCCCCAGACCTCCCAGGTAGATGATCCGTTCCACGCCTGCTTCCCGGGCAGCCCGTGCGAAATGTTCCGCAGCCCGCCGGTCGTTCTCCTCAAACGAACCGGACTCGCCCATCGAGTGAATCAGATAATACGCCACCTTCACTCCGGTCAATGCCGGTAGCAGCGTCTCCGGTTCCAGCACATCCCCGTAAACCACATCCGTGGTCTCTGAGACCCGCTCCCGCAGCACCTCCGGTCGCCGCGCCAGGCATCGTAGCCGGGCCCCCCGCGATTCCAGCACCTGCAGCAACCGTCCCCCCACATATCCGGTGGCTCCAGTCAACAGGATCAACTCAGATGCGTCAGCAGCAGACAGTTCAGGCATGACATCAACATTCCTTAAGAACGGAACAGAACACAATTGGAGCTTCCTGCAGCTCCATCAGGTGTTATAGTCTCGCCCGCACTGATGTTGAGGAGGAAATTCGAATTTTCAGCAGAAATGATATCAGTCGGCGGTGTTCTCTTCCGAATCCGCCTCACCGTGAAACTGTTCCCAGGCGGCTGCTTCCAGATCGCCGCAATCGGAAATCAACTGATCCTGCTCGTCATAGATTTTGTAGGTCTGTTGCACACCACCCAGACTGGCACCTCCATCCAGCCCCACCAACAATGTGTAAAATACATCCGTCAGCACTCCGTCCAGAATCTGATTCATCAGCCGGGACTGTTCCTCTGAAAGCTGCAACGCGGCGATGCCCTCCGACACGGCCAAGCCACTCTTGGAATCCTGAAACAGCTTCAGCAGTGTCTCTTTCTCCTGTTTGCAGCACGCGACAAATTCTTCAGCATTCATCTTGTGTCTCCCAACTCCTGTATTGAAATTCTCAGCGAACCACCTGCTGGCCCTCATCGTAGGCAATCGCCTGTTGACGGCGAATCACCGCCTGCCAGTCCATCCGATGCGGCGGATCCAGGTAATGCTGATATGCCACGGCCATCTGCCGGGCCACTTCCCGATAGGGTACGCATCCAAAGCCAGCCCCCATCGCAGGAAAGGCCACCGTTTTAATTTTGGTAGCTTCGTCTTCCTGGCTGATGTTGTGCTGATACACGGCCAGCAGGGACGCCCAGGTCGCTGCATACACTTTATCCGTCCCGGAGATCGAACCGGGGACGCGCATCGTTGGACTGTGAGCCACATAGGGATAATCGGGATTTCCCGTCGGCTCAATAAACGACGTTCCCAGCGGCTGTTCTCCCAGATACAGATCCAGAATCCGGTGCTGGATCCGTTTCATCAGGTCATAACCATGAAAATTGACTACCGCGGCATCGATGCCGGCATTCATGATGCCAAACGAATTCGCCGCAGTTACAAAACAGTCGTGCGGGGGCAGGTCTTCAAAACGGCATTCCATTACCGTCACATGGGGGAGTTCCTGAAAACGATCCCGAAACGCCTCACACATTTCCGCTTCGGGATGAATCAGCCAGAGATCAAGGGGTAAAGACATAAAGAGAAGGGGTCCTTTCTTGGAATAGAACGACATTTTATCTGAGAAAGCCGGCACTGGTCAAGCGATTACCTGCCGGCCTGTTTGTTGTTTAACAGTGTTCTTCAATGGACAGGAAAGCGCTTGATCCCCCCGTTCAATCTGATAGCTTGGAAGCTGAAAAACATTCCCCACCTGCCGCGTTGAGGAGTAACCGCCATGTGCTCGCGCAACCATCTTCCCGCCCCGCTCCCGCGTCTCTCTCTGCTGTCCCTGACCTGTCTGCTGACACTCTGCGTACATCCCAGAACACTACCAGCGGACACACTGTCCGTTCCCGAAAAGTATCAGACGATTCAATCCGCCATCGATGCCGCCCAACCGGGAGACACCGTCCTGGTCGCGGCTGGAACCTACTATGAACGCCTGCGTCTGAAACCGGGCCTTACACTCAAAAGCGCCGGCGATGAGAGCAGGGGAGAACGGGGCCTGAAAAGAGCCGAAACCACAATCATTGACGGCAGCAGACAGAAAGAGGGTGCCGGTGTCCTGCTGGCAGAGAACGCCGTGCTGGATGGATTCACCATCACGGGTGTCGGCGTCTACGACGAACAGAAATGGAACCACCATCACGCCACGCGGGGCGAACAGCAGTCGCACGAACACATCGGTGCTCCGGGCACCCCGGGTATTGCCATCATGGACGTCACCTGCACGGTTCAGAATAACATCGTCCATCACATCGGCTATACCGGCATCGCTGCCCAGGCGACCGCAGGCAAACGCTGTACCCCACACATTTATCGCAATGTCTGTTACCGCAACATGGGTGGCGGCATCGGCTCCATGCATGACTCACAGGCGGTTATCGAAGAGAATACCTGCTTCGAAAACTTCTATGCGGGCATCGGACACGACGATGCCAGCCCGACCGTCATCAATAATACCTGCTTCGAAAACATCCGCGCCGGGATCGGCATCAGTGAAGGTTCCTGCCCCCTCGTGCGTGGTAATAAATGCTACCGCAACCGTCGTGCCGGCATTGGCTCCCGCACCGGCGCCAATACGCGTCCCCTGATTGAAGACAACGAGTGCTATGACAACGGCATGGCTGGTATCGGCGCCAGCGAGTCTGCCGCACCGCTGATCCGCAATAATCGCTGCTACCAGAACCGCCTGGCGGGCATCGGCTCTCAGTCACACGCCTCTCCTACCATCATCGGCAATGAATGTTATCAGAATGGACAGTCCGGCATCGGTCAGCAAGGCGATGCTGTCACCACACTCATCAACAATTATTGTCATCACAACAAAACCGCAGGTCTCGGTTTCGCTGACTGTAAATCGGGTCGATCCACAGTAGTCAACAACCGCATCATCGACAACGCGCAAGTCGCCGCCGGCGTCCACTCAGGCTGGACCGTCCTGTTCCTGGGAAATGAATTCGCTCGCCAGGGAGGTCTGCCGCCCATCCTCATGATCTTCGCCGGCGCCGATGTCACCCTCACTGGCAATACCATTCGCGGCGGAGGAGTCGCCGGCATTCGCGTCGCCGGGAAACTGCGGGCGGAAAACAATGAATTCGCGGGGACCTCCCTCCGCAAAGTCGGTCCCCCCAACTTTGGGGTCTGGGCACTGCCCGGTGCGGAGTTCACACTCACAGGCAATCGCTTCCATCACTGGCGTCACGCGCTCAGTGCCAGTGATGCGACTGTGATGGCATCCCACAACCACATCACAGACTTCCACCGCACGGCACTGCTGATTCAGAATCCCCAAGCCCCGGCGCATGTCTTCAACAATGTAGCAGTCTCCAGCGACCCCAAAATAGAAGTCCTCACGCTGACAGGCCAGGCCGGTACCGTGAAAGGAAATGAACTACGTCAGCCGAAAGACTAAGCCACATAGCCCCTGACTGGGCATGTTCCTCTGCCTTACTGCAAATGGGTCACATCCACTCGTTTAACCAGTGCGATCGGCTGCTGATTCTTCCAGTCGTACTGTTTGCCATCCACCTTCAGGCTGTTCAACATCAGATCAAAGTGATGTCCTTCCCATTCAAACGCCACGCGTCCGGGCAGAATGGTCGTGTCTTCAAACGTCAGCCTGTTACCTCGCATCTGCTCCGCCTGTTCGGGGAGTGTAAACGTTCCCGCGGGATGAGCGTTAGCGGCCTGATCGGAAAACACCACCTGCCGACGCAGCACGCGATCTTCGCGGCCCGCCAGTCTGAGCGTCAGCGCAAGTTGCTGTTCCGCCTGACCAATCTCGGCTTCCCAGTGCCCCTGCGCACCATTGAACGAGTCCAGCGACCAGAATAACAGAATCACACAGCAGAGCGCCCCGCCACAATACAACACGACGTTTTTCAGAATGTCTTTTTTCATGGGAATGCCTCATTTAAAAATAATGCCGAACTGATCGACAGGTGATGACAGATACCACTCAGGAATAACAAATGGAATCCGCAGTCATCGCATCCGCTGTATGCCAGTTTCCGCTCCCGTTGACCTGTGGATCATAAATCAATCTCTCATCTCTGAGAAAGGCAATTTTGAATCGTCAAATCAACGAATTCCATTTCTGCAGCATGTCACCGGCTCACACTGCAGCATCCTGCACAACTCATGCAAAACCTTTCCGCACCGGCCTGATTCTGCATTTTGCTCAAGATGTCATGCAGGAAACACACAGTCGAGAAGAACCAACAGTCAATCCAGACTGCAATTCTCTGTTTCCGTTTCAGCATTCCATACGAGATGAGCATGCAGGAGAGGAGTTGCAAGATTCATGCCGATCACGAACAGCAACATTTTTGAACGTCGTTCCCACGCCTTGCCCGTCGCTTGCGTAAAAGTAGTGCGTGAATTCGTCTCGATCCTGGGAACAGGAGAGTCGGCGCCCCCCCTCAAGCGCTCATTTATTCTGGAACTGCTGCAGATGGGTTTCCAGTTCATTCCATTCGCGGATCACATGCTGCTGCATTTCCGGATCGGAATAATAAGGGTGTCCGCTGTCGACATAGGCTTCGATCGACTCTTTGACCTGCGCGACCAGGGGAAACACGCGGGGCACCAACTCTCGCACTTCCGGCAGACAGTCATCGGAAAACTGAAACTGGATCGCAGCTCCCAGTCCATACACCTGGCACCACTCGGCTTCCTCATCTGCTCCCCAGACCGGCGTAACCAGCAGATAACGCTCCAGTACCGGGAAATAATAAGCAAACGCTTTCCCCCCCATCCACATGAAATCTTCCTGGTAGACAAAGGGATTTTCCTGAAATCTCTGATAGGCTTCCTGCAACGTCAACCCACCAAAATTCTCCCAGGCCACCAGCGCGTCCAGATCGCCTTCGTGCGGATCAAAATCCCGTTCGCCGGGCAGGGGACCATTACCATCCCTGAATGGTTGTCCTGTCATAAGTGTTCACACTTCTATTCAACTTTCGCCCCGCAAAAAGCGCGTAGCAGGGCAGCTAATAATCTATCCTCTATCGATCAGTCTTCATAAATCGCGGAAGCAATTACAAAACTGCCAAAGATATTACCGTATCCTACGACAGCACCGACAATAGCCATCCAGTTCTTTCGAGTGGAGAAGCAGGCGAAAGAAACTAATCCTAAAATCCCTGCCAAGTAAGACAATGTCCACCCCAAAGCAAGCAACCTCTCAAAATACTCTGCAGCAGGTCCTTCCCACGTTACCACGGGTTGTCGGCGAGAACCATCCACTCGAATATGCGACTTAGCATAGGAAAGCAGTACTGTCCCCAGCAGAGCCAGAAAAGGGGAACAGACTGCTAATTTATCATTCTTAATTACATCATCCTGTTGATACGCCGCAGAAGCTTCCCAGACTAACTTGTGCTTCAAGGACTGAGGTAAACAGAAACGTAATAGCCACAGCAGGATGAATAAATCTGACAGAGTTGCAACGGG